AATGTCATATATTTGTTCTCAAAAAAAAAAAAAAAAGGAAAAGAAAAAGAAATGTTCTACCTAAAAAAATCATATAATTCTAGACAATATTTTGGAATTAGGAGAAAATAGATTTTATCTAAATCATTGATCAATTTAAAGTTTTGGACTTGATAAATTTGATCTTTCATAAATAATTTGATAGACCTTTTATAAAATATAATAGTGTAAATAACCCGAACACTACTTTGAGAATTTTTTTTATATCAAACCTCTAAAATCCTGTTCAAAGAAGTAATAGTGAATTTTTTTTAATCTCTTTTTTGGTGAGAATATTACAACACAAAATATGATGACGAGAATTTGAATCTACGACTTGTTATCAGGGGTAGAGATGTCTTATACGGATAAAAAATTAGTCCTCTAAACAAACGGTTATTCCAAGATTTTTTTTTCTATTCACTGATAAAATTATATTATAAATATGATGGTGAAAATTCGAACTTATGACCTGTCCGACAAATCCAGTAAACTACGTTCAATTAAGAGAGCAAACGAGATATCGATTTATGTCTAATACAGTGAATTATACGTCGAGAATAGTTATCCGAACATATTTAGAGAGAGAGTCAACGGGTAGAGAGAGAGAGAGAGAGAGAGAGAGAGAGAGAGAGATCCAATCTGTGTCTGCCTCAGCAAGCACGCGAGGCCCCTTCTTCCTCTTCATCCCCACCAACTTTGCTTTTTTCCCTTTTCTCTCTCTGTGCAAATTTCTATGGATGCCAAAAGAGGCAGAGAAACATCACAAACTTTCACCCAAAACAGCAAAAAGAAACACCAAAAATCATCATTTTGTTCATCAGAAATTAATTCTCTACCAACAAAAGAAATATGGTGATCCAGTGGCCCCATTTTATCATATTTCATCACTAATCATTATTCCTATATATATCAATTATATTATTTTAGACCTTAAACAATATTCATTCAAAACAGCCCCCCCTTTTAACTTTTCTCTCCCTCTTTAATTCCTTACTCCTTCCTATGATTTATATTCTCAGCTTATGATCTTAAAACTTTGCTACTTTTTTTTTCTTTTTATATCTATCTATATATATATATATATATATATATATATAAACTAGGCCGCTAATATCTTGATGCATGTGTTGGGATTCGGGAAAAAATCATGGCTTCTCTTTCGGGAATAAACAAAAAATTATAATTTAGAAACATGAGAAATTTATCCTTTGAGGATAAGTTTACAAGGGTCTACATCCGAATTTTGTTTTTTTTTATTTAATTTTGAAAACAAAAAATATTGTTTTCAATGTTTTTACCTTTTGAATTTAAAACTTAAAAAATATAGAATTGTATTAAAAAAATATAAAAACTTTGATAAATATATTTTTTCATATTATAAACTCACTTTTTAAAATTAAAACATTTAAAACATAATATATTATAGATTATATAACATTGTAAAATAATAATTATACAAAATTTATAACAAAAATGTTTATAAATTAGTTGATATTATTTTAGATTAAATTAAATATTTAGTGGGTAATTACTAGTAGTTTACAAATATATTTTTAAATACACGTTTAACAATTTTTTAACTTAAAATTCAATTTTCAAATCGGCTACCAAACACATATTTGAAAAGACTAAAAATAAATAATACAACTTTTGTTTTCATGGAATCTATTTCTGTTTTCTAATCACGGTCCTAGAGAACTCATTATTTAATTAATCAAGTGGAGTGATGAATGAATTTTTACAATAATGACATATTTTAAGTTGCTTTTCCATTCGTTAATTACCAATACAGTACTAAACACAAAGCAAAAAGCCAAAATTTTTAAAATTTTCTTCCAAAATTGGATTCTGAGATTTTAACACACGTGTCTTGTAGTGTCACTCTATATATCTCAATGCACAGACCACTTTTGAGCCCTAAATTGGAGAAGCTGCTTTCATATTTTTGGCTGTTTCTCAAAACCCTATTTTCACTATTGCACCAAAAGGCCCACATTTTTGTTTTTATTATGAATGCAAAAATATGCTGTTGGGTGCAATTTGATATTTCCTTGCTCAAACAAGAGAAATGCTTTTTATTATTTTAAAATTTTCCCTTCTCAAATAATATCAATATGTTACCCTCTTTGATTTTTCTATGTATAATTTCAAAACCTAATAATAATAGACGAGAAAAATTGTGAAAATGATTGATCCAAAACTTGTACCTCTTTTGACGTATCAACTTTTCTTTTCTCTTCCTTAATATTCCTTTTTTTTCAATTGGATCGTGTTGTAAAGATTTATATCAAACGTTATCGATGAGTTTTAACGTCTCTTTCCTTATTCTATGATAGATAAAAGATAAGTTTCAAATCCAAAAATAAAAAATTTGAAAGAAAAAAAATCAGAAAGGGATAAAATGAAAAAATAAAAATAAGAAATTAAGTGTTAACTTTTTGTTTATAAAATCAAGATATATGGACAAATAATGATTTGGAAGAGATAATCTCAATATATTGTGAGGATAATATAAGATTGAGAATTTTGAGTATTACATTAATCAATGGTTCATTATTGTTAGGTTAATTATTTAAAGTAAGATATATAGTTCACTCATTAATAAAATAACCTACAAATTAAAATTTTCCCAAAAAAAAAAAAGTTTTGGATGGTAAAACACCAACAATATCTTTACCTCTTTATCCTTCATCTAATAATTCGAACTCTCTAAAATTTCATTTCTTTTAAGAAGTATGAATTAATAAGAGAAGGTCTATAAGTTTATTCAAGAATTAAAAAATAAACAAAATTTGAGAAATAAATGCATAATAACATAAGATGAAAACAAAAAAGTGAATTGTTGATAGTGGGTATGAAATCGAGGAGATGAGAACAATGATTATTTTAGAAGAGAAATTTCTTTAGATTAYGAAGATAATAGGGTGGAAATTAAAAAAAAAATGCCCCTATAAGTGGAAATCCCAATAAATATATATATATATATATATATATATATATATATATATAACAATGATGGTGATTAAATGATCCTATCATAATGTTATGAAGATTTTGTATTATGATAACTCCATACATTTAAAATCATGGAATTTTTTTTTTTCCATTTCCAAAAGGGACAAAGAAAGAGAGGAGGCTCCCCTCTATGTAGCGGTAGCCTAAGCTTGCAGTAAATTACTATCTGGTCCACATTGAACCAAAAGTGATATTATTTCCTTTTCCTTTTGATATATCTCATGGTAAATAATTAACGTTCACAAAAAAATTATTATTATTATTATCATGATGAAATTAGTGTTAAATTTTTATCTATATATCAATATTTTTATTGAAATTTCTGTACGTTCAAGTGTTCAACATCGACATAAGAGCTGAATCGACATTTTTATAGAAAATATAAAAAATATTAACTAAATAGCACTGATTCACTTATATAAGAATAATATTAATAATTAGAATTTTTAACTTATTTATAGATGTGTTTATTCGTTAATTTAAATATATTTAAGGAATTTTTATTATTATAATTTTTTAGAAATATGATATTTTCATAAAATTGAGTAGAGTTGGATAAAACTTCATTTTTTTAATTATTTTCATCTTGTTGTTTCTTTGCTTTGGCATTTTTTGTTTTTTGTTTTTGTTTTTTATTTTATTTTGGTTCTTAAAATCTTATATATTTTCCTTTAATGTTTCGTTCTAGAGTTTGTCTCCAATTTTAAGTTTTTGCTTTCATTTTTCTTCTTGAGGTTATCTCCAAAATAATCATATAATTTTTTATATAGTTCTGATCGTTTTTGTTTCTTATTCTATTTTGAGGTTTCTATAATTTTTATTTAAGGGCGTCTACAGTCGGTGTATTTTTTTATTTTTTATTTTGATAATTAATTTTTCATTCTTTTCCACCATAATTTAAACAAATCCTTGAAAAGAAAATTGAATCTGATTTTAATTTGAATTACATGTTACGTACGTAAAATTTTAAACTATCTACTATGTTTAATGATATATATTTATTTTATTTTATGTTATTTCGTAATTGATTGGTATATAATAATATATAAAGATAAAGTTTTTAAAATATAGATATTTTCAAAATGATCCTATTCCCTTGGGTTTGAATCCATTTTTCCATTTTAAGGGAGATGATTGAGAAATTTATCTCTTTTATAAAGGAGGATTCAAAGGGGCTTTCAAGTTTGGTGGTTTCAAGAGTTTAGACCAATGTTTCAAAAATCCAAACTTTTTTTTTTCTCAATTTTCTGTGGGTTTAAAGGGAGCAAAATGCTCTTGTTTGGCCACATGGTCATAGTGAGAGAGAGAGAGAGAGAGGGGTTATTTATTAAAAAAATTGTTTAAGAAAATTGCAACACCAATTGGGTAAATTTTCTTTCTATAAGTTTACAAAAAAATGATTTAGGTGATTATGACATGCCATTATTTTCAGCCTAATAAAACATACAAAGGGGAGAATTATTATCTATTAAGATTTTTTTTTTTAGAATATGCACACTATATTCTTTTTTGACCTCTAATTAATTAAATATTATAAAAGAGTGATTATATATTCTCAAGAAGAAATTTGTTTATAATAACTATTAATCTTTCAAAATCTATGTAAGTTTTGGGTCATTAACTAGTTTTGCCAAATTTACAAGTCTTTTTTCCTTTAAAAAATTCTTACAAATCTTAGACTATATATATATATTTTTGACCTCTAAATAATTAAATATTACAAAATAGTGATTATAGACGTCAAAAAGAGATGTATTTATATAACTATTAAGGTTTCAAGATGGATTTGACTTTCTTAATTAGTTTTGCGTATGTTCCATAAATCTTTGACAATATATCATTTTCTTATCTCTAAATAATTAAATAATACAAATAAAAAGAGCAATTACAGAGGTGAAAATAGATATTTCCACCAAACCAAAAAAAAAAAAATTTAAATCTAAAATTAGTATCAAGTGAAAACTGAACAAAAAACATGGGAGAATCATATTTTCTTACCATCAAACTCAAGATAGATTACTCTCCATTTTCCCTCTTCATTAACAATTCTTAGATTTCTTCATTCAAAAAACAAAAGAAAAAAGAACAACTCTGAACTTTTTTAAAAAATAAATCATATTTATTTTCTTAAAAAGTAAAATTAATCTAATTAAAATAGCACTATCAAAATTAAGATTTAAAACCATTAAAAGCTGAGAAAATAAAAACTCATTGTTGTGCCAAACTGCCAATGTGCCACCCACCTAGATTTGTCAAAAAGACACTCTTTTTTTATCTCAAAAAAAAAAAAAAAGACACTCTTTTTAAAGCATCTTGAGAAGCCCATAGGTACCCAAATAAGAACAGAACAACCAGGAATCCCAGCCATTCAAATCGACACGTGTTGCAATCGTATTCAATGTTCCAGGTTCATAGAATCAAAACTCAAAAAGCACCCATGGTTTTTAGGACAAGCTCTCATGTCTTCCACCACTGTATTGCAATCTCCTAGGTTTTTTTTTCTTTTGAAAAATAGCAATTATAATATTAAAATATACTTTTTACCCCTCTATTTAGACTTCTTTACCCTCTAATCACATTCAAACATAGTCTTCTTAAATTTTTTTTTTTGAAAAACTGTATTCTTTAAAGGTCTAGATACATTTTAATTCATTTATAGCCAATGTACTTCAAAAATATTTAGTTTGACATTTGTATTTTTTGTTTTTCTTATTTCAATATTTATATTTTAAAAAAACTCATTTTTATCCGTATATTTTAAAAAATGACTATTTTTATTACTTCTTTTATCTACTCTTTTTTTAAAAAATCATAGCCATGATATTTAGTCAATAAAGTTTCAGAGTATAAGTCATAAATTTGTATTAAGTAATATTGATTATGTATAACATTTTGCAAATAAGAGTTATCAAAATAAACGTTTTGAAAGCTCATGGATTAAAATGAACAAAAAAAAAAAAATAATAATAAAAGTAAGAAATCAAAAGAATATTTAAACTCCTTTTAACACAGAAAGTGTATTTAGTACTAAAATTTGACATAAAATCGTTTATCACATGAAAGATCTTATCATTGTCCTTATAATACAAAAACGGAATGATAATGAAAAGTTATATGTAAGGATGAAAATATTAGGAGAGTTTAAAATACTTAAATACTTTATTACTAGTTATTTAATTCATGGATTCTTGGATCACGAAAATTAAAAAGAAAAAGCAATACAGGATGTTATGTTGGCGGGTTTCTTAATACGTACGGACAAGCTACATTTTCAACGGTTACGAGTCGTTTTGTGTCACTTGAAATTACCTCAATACCCTTCCTTCAATTTAATATCCATTTTGAAAATTTAGGTTACAAGGGGAGACCGTGAGTGAGATTCTCACACCTAACCTAACAAATCAAATCAATTGCTTGATTTTCAATTCATACACAAATTTTACTTGGTTTGATTTTGAGAAGATTTGAATTTCTTTATTATTATTTTTTTTAGTACATGAAGTTTATAATTGATTTCTTATGAATAAATAATCAAATAATATCATTGACATGTTACAAAATGTTGGATAAATGAAATTAACAACAAAACTTTTTTTTAAGTACATGAAGTTTAGAACTGATTTATTATGAACAAATAATTAAATAATATGACTGACGTGTTATACAAATGTTGAATAAATGAAATTAACAACAAAGAGTTGTTGTTTTTTTAGTACAATATGTGAAGGTGGAGATCGGACTCACAGACTCTTGATTTGAGATATATGTCAATTAACGTTGAGTTAGACTCATTTTGACAACAACAAAAACTTGTTAAATTTAAACATAAAATTAAAAGCTCAGACATATATCAAAATCTTTTGAAATATGAACCTAACTTAGAGAGATGAAACTTGTAATTTAATATAGCTATTTTTTTTATTAAACATAAATGGATAGATCTAACCTTCCATCCACTAATTATTAATAAATTTTTTTGAGCAAAGACAAAATTATATCATTAATTTAAATGGTAAAAAGGAAAAGAAAAAAGTTTCTCACCAACCAATAACTCACTAGAGAAAAATAAAATAAGGGGTATAAGTGGAATTTGGTTATAAATCAAGGACATTTTTGGGAGGAAGGCCCAGAGAATCAACCAACTGCAACAGAAACCAGAGGATAGGAGAAGAAAACAAGAGACTGAGACGCTGGAATTCAGGGAAAACCATCAAACTCTCTACCACTAATGACACCATCTGAGCTTCAAGCTCTCAACATCACTTCATTTCTTTCACTTATCATAAATGTCTATAAATACTCAGCCCCATTTCAATCTCACTTCAACCAAATCTTCCCCAATCATCCACTTTTATTCAACACAGCTGATCTCTGCGTTTTTTTTTTGATTCCCTGTTCTTGCAACAATGGCGAAGAATGTGGCTCAGTCTCTTTTCGAGAGCAAAAATCTGGCTCCCCATGACCCTAAAGTGGCAATGGCCAAGCGCTGTGCTAAAGGTATGCTTTTGATTTTTTTGATTTTTTCTCTTTCTGATGGGAAAAAAAGTAATGGATATGTAAAGGTGTTTGGTTACTCTGCTTTGATGACACCACAATGTAATGTATTTGATGAGTTGGGTCGTTGAAAATAGTGACTGTTTGATCATAATAATGGGTTAAGATTTGGTTTTTGATAACGCCCTTTAGCTGTTCGATGAAATTCCTTAAAGAGGGTGTTGTTCTCTTTAGTTTCAAGAACGGGTTGAAAGTAAAAGAGTTACTCCTTCTTTTTAATGTTTGGGGACCATGTTCAACTTCTCCCACTCCAACTTCCCCCACCAACTCTGCTTTTTTTGTTAATGATTTATCTAAAAGTTAAAGAGATGGGATGTGATCCATGCGCATGTTGATTGGATTTGTGCTGTATGTTTGACTGATTTGATTGTTTTGATCGATTGGCTGGTGGACCACGATCCACTTCAGGTTTAGTGCCATGAAAATAAGTGAATTCTGATGTTCTGTTTCTAATAATTCTCTTCCCAAACTTAGCTTTTTTCATAAGTATCTGAGCTAATGGGTTAAGTTTCTTCTTTTTTGACGGACAGAGGGTGTGATAGCAGGAGCAAAAGCAGCTGCCATTGCAAGTATTGCCACTGCCATTCCCACTGTAAGTTCCCACAGTTTCATAAAGCACACAGATCCTTATCTATCTTTTTTGGAGAATAATTAGTGCCATTCATCACCTTCTATTTTATTTGGAAAATATGACCAAAGTAACAGAAGAACTAAATGTAGATGACCTTACGGGCACAACTAAATCTTTAATTGATGTGGGTGGATGGTCTTATTGCTGGAGTGATGTAGACAATTTATAATTCATTTTTGATTAAAATGTTTCTTTAGCGCCCTGCTAAGGGTGCACGTGGGATTGGCAATGGCGATGCATTGCAAAAGTGTTCGGGAAGGGGGTTGAGGCACCACAAGTTTGTGGCCCTTTCACCCATTCCCTACCCAAATGATGAATGGGTATAGATTATTAACGATCCCCCTAATGTTCAAGTTGGGACAAAAGGCAGAGCTAAGAAGGAAGGAGAGAACAATTGTCCCTACTTCATTTTAGATTAAAAAGAATTAGTCTTTTTTCTTATTTTCTCCCCTCTACTAAATTTTCAGAACTATATAAACATGTAAAAGTTAGAAGGTAAAATTTTGTCCCTCCCAAAAAACATTTCTGGTTCTACCCTTGGGGTTGAGGTGCCACGAGCTTGTAATCCTTTTGCCCCTCATAGATGGTGTAGAGCTAGCTGTTGCTACCACATCCTTCAGCCCCGTTCGGGCCTAGATCGTGTCAAAATATTGTAGATAATACTAGAGTTATGTTACAGCAAACTAAATTCATAACTAGAATTGTGTTTGATTTTGCAGTTGGCTAGTGTGAGGATGCTACCATGGGCAAAAGCTCATCTGAACCACACTGCTCAAGCTCTAATAATCTCCACAGGTTAACCTTTTTTCTGTTGCAGCCAAATAATCATTTGGTTTCATTTGCTTTTCTTTACTAAAGGAAAAAGGCTTGATTTCAATGGCAGTGGCTGGAGCAGCATACTTCATAGTGGCTGACAAGACTGTGCTGGCAACAGCAAGAAGAAACTCCTTCAAGCAAAAACCCAACACTGAAACATATGAATTCAATTGAATCATGTCAACTCAACCTTAGATTTTGAGGGATGGCATTGAAAAGGCTAGCCTCATCTGGTTTTGAGGGCGGGCATTGAAGAAGCTACCCTGATCTAGGCCATAGGCCCATATCAACATTGCTCGCTGTTGCTCTTTTTAATTATCACTTGAATTTTGTGTACTAAGAAAATCTATGTAAAATCCATTTACTATTTGAATAAATAAAAATGGGTTTTCAGATATTTATCTTGTGAAATTAGACAAGATTTGTTTGTTTCATATACTTAAAAGCCATAAGATCAACACAATTTTTGTTTGCAAAAAGTGTTAAGATAACTGCCCAATCCAATATTTTCCTTTTTGTTGTTTCTTTGGACAGTATGGGTGTCTGCAAAGAGAGGAAAAAAGGTGCATTTTCACAGGATAATGTTTTAGATTCTTTCTTTCTACTAGGGTTTTTTTAGTATGGGGCCGGGAGATTTGAAATCAAAATTTGTTTGGTGAGATAAAAGGTCTCAATTACCTACTAAATTTTACTATTATTTTATTTTAGATTAATTATCATAACTAAGTTAAACTAGTATCTTTTTTTTAAATGTCGTGGATAATCGAGGTTTATAATATTATATCACTTCAATCTAAATCTAGCTATTATATAATATAATTATATAAATAGATATGATTAGTTCTCCCATGATAAAAGTGGAGACAAGATATAACATATGAGACCTCAAACTCTATATATAATCCAATCAACCATTTTTTCCTTGATCGAATAAACCAATATATGATACTATATAATTTGATCTTTAAATATTAAATAAATAGTACTATTATTTAATATTAACTGTCAAACCATGTATTCAAAGTTTTATTTATTAAGAAGATTGTGAAGGGATCCCAAATCTTCAACGATGAATAATCTACGTCAATTAATCAACTTTGTTAGTTAAAAGAATGTCTCTACAATATCATGTGTTGATTCAATCTCTTAATACCCTAGTTAGCTAGAAGATTGATATTTATCAGTTAAGGGACGATCACATACAACATCATGTATTGATTCAATTCCTAGATATCCAACATCGTTTAACGACAGCGTGTTTCAAAATTCTCGAAGACAATTGTCCCCCTTTTAAGAACAGTCACAAATGAAGAATAAAGAGGGAAAGTGAAGAAAAAAGAAGAGATAATTTTCTAAGGTTTTCCACATATACAACATTGACAATTCATGGCTTAAAAGAACAAATTGTTTATTAGGATTCTTCCTTATCTCATACTTGGTCAAGAATTCAAGTATATGTTGGTGCCATGTCAGCAAATAAAAAGTGATTTGAAATGTATTTTGTTTGCATGACAAGTCAGAAATTAGGAATATTCACATCCATGCATGGATGTGAACAATTAGAAACTGAATTAAATATTTGAATTTGCTGATCTAACCATATTAGAAAAGTTTTTTTTTTTAATACTATCAACAATGTATCATTGATAGAGACTAATGTTAACCAAAGAGTTTGATCTATCTTAATAATCATTAGTTAATGTGCATTCTCAACTTTTTAATATGTCGACATGGATAATATTCTTTTGAATTATTGCATGCCGAAAAAAGAAGAATCCTCAAAATTAGATTGAAATGGATGCACACATTATTTAAAGGAATTTATTCCCACCAGCCAATAAATCAAAAGAAAATATATATACTTTGGCTACATACATTTTATATATTCCTTATAAATATATTATAAAGTTTTACATGTCTTTAAAACTTTGACCCACACGAAAATAAAAAAAGCATTATATAGGGAAGGTTTCATCTATAGAATATGGGGCAAGGCATCTGATCATCAGGTATGCAACGCCATGTTTGGTGCAGGCCCCCGGCCTTGCAGCACGTGAAACCATTCCAAAATGATAAACCCTAGAGAGGGAGGGAGAATATTATTCATAATGATTATAATAATTATATAATGAATGAATACGAGGTTAATTAATGATTTTTTTCTCGAGTTCCAAAAATAAGAGGCGGATATTTCAAAAATGAACCTAGCTAAACAGTAATTGATATATATCTTCAATTAATAGGTTGTGAGTTTGATCTTCATATATTATACTAAAGAGAAAAAAAAAGGAGATGAATATTTCAACTTGGTCCATCTTCAAGTAATGTCTCCTTCAACCAGGATCTGTTTGGTAACAATTTTATTTTTTTGTTTTCTATTTTTTAAAAAGTAAACTTGTAAATACTATTTTGATCTTCCGTGTTTAGTTTTTTTAAAAAGGTTTTCAAAATGTAGGCTTTAATTTTGAATTTTTTCTTTTCAATTTATTTTTTAAAATTTGATTGAGAATTCAAATGTATTTTCAAGAGATGCGATAACTTACCAATGAAAAATGTAAGAAGAACAAGCTTAATTTGTAAGAACAAATTATCAAACGGCACCTAAAAATTTTGTTTTTAGCTTTCTTGTTTTTGAAAAGTATACTTTTACCCTTACTTTCTCACCTTTTCTATAGTCTATTTTCACATTTGAATTCTTAGCCAAATTTAAGAAAAAACAAAAAAATCGAAAATTATTTTATTTAGTTTTCAAATTAAATGTTGACTTAGATTTACAACTAATCGAAAACAAAATGGTCATCAAATTATAATTTTTTTCCTTCTAAATTACTTTTAACAAGACAAGTTTTTTTTTTTCTTTTTTAATCACTAGATCATTGATGTTTATAACTGAGCAAATATTTGAAGTCACTCCAGAGCAACTTTGATGTGGAGGGAGCCTAAAAGAAAATTTGAATTAAATAACTAAAAAAAATAAATAGCAAGAAATTAAAAAGTTTCCTCGTGATGCAAAGTTGAAGAACTAAACACAAAATATTTGAAGATTGATCAACTAATATATAGGAAAAGTTGAAGAATCAAGAAGAGCCTATAATATGAAAAAAATGTGGGGGAGGGAGAATGAAACAACAAGGCATGGGTCATGTGAGTGAAAATATTATTGAATAATTAGGTGGAAAGAAGAGCATGCAATGGACTTTTGCTTTATTAATTAATTTGCTACTTTTTCAAAGCATATTTACATGCATTACTTCCGCCATTAGGCCTCTTCTCAACTCTTTCCTTTTATGAAGCTATCTCATTTATATGGGGAAAAACCCAAAACTGTCTAAATCAAATACCATTTTTGCAATGTGTGTGTTGGGTTTTATTTTGATTTTGGTTCACAAAAAAATAGGTTAATATGTCAAAATTATTAACATAAAAGTAACAAATTTATTGTTTGATACAAATTAATCTTTTTTTGTTTGGTTATTACTCATTACAAATATTTATTCCCTACCAGAAACTCTAAAAATAGAAAAAAAAATGACAAAAATGAACCATTTGAATACATTTTATTATAAGCTCATGTAAGTTCACATGCCCCTCAAGATCGTGTCTCTTTTTGGTTCATCGATATTGATCGGATCTCATTTTTGGACCGGTTGCTCGTTTGAGAGTTTTGGGCTCTGATACCATATTAATATTTCATGAGGTTCCATCTCGAAACTAATTAACTACGATCGAGAGAAGTAACCAATGTCTATTATAAATTCATGTAAGTTCCCTTCTTTTTATCAATGTGAATCCTTAATTAATACTGTGTTCGAAATATTATTGTTTCCTCCCCATTTGTAATGGTCCAAAATTTATCCGATCCATCTAACTTTTTAGCTCAAAATCACACCCACTTGCAAAGACTTTTTTTTGGCAACTATAAAAACCCTCCAAAGGCAGAGCCAGCAATCTCACCAAAATTTCCCTATTTCCAAACCCAAACTTCACAGAACAATCCTTCAGCCAATCTTGAAGGTGAGAGCTTCAATTTTCCTCAATGTCCTTCATTATATTTATATTTGTCGTCTTCTTTTTTTTTCTCCATTTGTTGCTAAATTTGGATTATATCATTCATAAATCTTCAGGAAGATATATGACGATGAACATGAACTGGTCGGGAGGCGACTGGATGTGCGGCGTGTGCGAGCACGTGAACTTCAAGAAGAGAGAAGCCTGCCAAAGATGTGGGTACCCAAAATATGGTGGCCCTGATCCCACAACATATGAATACCATAAAACAGATCATCAAGCTCTCTTGGCTGGAGATTGGTACTGCAACTGTGGAGCTCACAACTATGCCAGCAGATCAAACTGCTACAGATGCAATAGTAATGCGTTTAAGAATGTGGATAATATTGGTGCCTTGCCTGGATGGAAATCTGGGGATTGGATTTGCACTAGGTTAGTACCGTCTCGTCTTCGTTTTGTGATCGATTCTGTTAAGCTATCTAGAAAATATTATGATTTAACATGATGGGAGATTTCTCTCCATGAAATTTTATTTTCTCTACATTTCCAATAATTTTATAGTTTCTTTAACGAAAAAAAATTGTTTTTTATTTCCCATATATATTGAGATGGGAAATATGTTGAATTTGGGCAGAATAGGATGCGAAATGCACAATTATGCGAGTAGGATGGAATGCTACAAATGCAACACTCCGAGGGATTTTGGTAAGAAGAATTATTTTGATCATCTCAAACATTTTGATATTCAAATTAACTTTATACTTGGTGAATTTACTACAGTTAAAAAATTCACAGCTATTTCTTGTTTTAAAAACAAAAAACTAATTTTTCTCTCTTCTTATAATACCTTTATCTCTCTTAGATACTCATAGTCATATAGTCATATACATAATGATCGATAAACACACCTAAATATTATTTCATAAATATATAAATGTACCTTTGTTTTTCATTCCCTGGTACTAACTAATAATCCATATATGTTTTTGTTTTGTTCTTTCAGGTGGAGCTGTTTGAAACTAAGGAAACTGATTTTTGAAGAACTCTTGCCCTTGGCATCTGATCCCACTCCAATTTGCTTCCTTTTTTCTGATCTCTTGTTTTTAATTTGAGACACTCTGATTAACATGGGAAGCAAATATAGTTCCATGAATTAGAGATTTTTTTCCCTTTTATAGTTCAACGACACGTGGGGGTGGGAATTCGAACCCTTGATATTTTAGTGGGAAGATTTATGTCTTAACCAACTAGGTTTATGTTCAAGTTAATTAGTGAAAAATTAGAGATTATAAGGAGTTTTTATAGCTCTACATATAAATGTGTGTCGTATATTTTTAAATTATTCATGCATGAAAGCCCAAGAATTCCCTCTCTTGATCTCACACTTTCACGCTAATTAATTAGAATTTAGCTCTCTCTTTCTAATGAGCATTGAATTTAATTTTAAGGTCTCATTCTTGGGCCACCAACCAGCGGCTTTGAATTATGCCAAAGAGATATAGATGTGTACATAAGAGAATAATAACTTTGAGATTCAAGAATCTACTCCTCAATAATGCAGTCCAAAAGGATAGACCCACCTTTTAAATTTTGTGTCCTAGTTTGGCATCAAATCAATGTTTGTGTATACCTACGAGGTCATTAAACTTTATGTGGAATACACGTATTCATAAAGATTAATGGGTTTATTTGATAATCATATCAATTCTAAATACCAATGAAGAACGTTTGAAATTATAAAAAGGAAACATCAAAATTATACATAATACCTTCGGATGAAAATTTTCAATCCATTGAACGTTAAAAGTTTGTCAATCTGAGCATATCTTTACTTGGATCCTCACCTGTGTTATTGAGCTTAAAAAACGTTGAAGAGGAATTTAATTAATTTTTTTTTATACAATAGGAATTTAATTCAAAGTGTGAGAAAAAAAATAATGGGCCGTGGGCCTTTATGATCACCTAGTTCAAGTGACCTCCATCACACTTGGATAAGGTAGGCCCAAAGTGATTGGGCTTATTTGGAATACCAAAGTTTCAGGAGAGAGAAGGGGTGTACAACAAAAATACGACATAATTAATGAAACTTGTGGTAATTCAATAGTTGTTTATTGTTCTTTGTCCAGAAATTTCAAATAATTCACAAATCAGATTTTTTACTATAACACAGGGACATCTAATAAGGACTCAGAGATAATAATCAAAATTTGAAAGAAACTTCAAAAAAGACAAATTTTTCTAATTTAGCAGTGTCTCTGACTTTATTATATTATCGAACTTACCGATAAAACGTCAAATTCTGTAGGGCAGCGGGTATTAAATGTCGTATTTATTAAATTATTATTTTTAATTGGATTTGACTTTATTTTGCTTATAATTTAAAAAATAGTTTTTAAATAATCGATTATAACAAAGAAAATATAATTCCTTTAAAAGAAATTGGAAAATACAAAACAATTTCTCAAGACCAAAATCCATGAGGAAAATGTCATCGACCTTTAACATTTACTTAATAGCTAAGATTTATTTTCTAAAAAAGATTATTTGAATAGAAACATTCAAAAGTAAAAAAAAAAAAGAAAAAGAAAAGGACTTTTGAAAATTTTAGTATATGAAAATAAAAAAGTAAAATCAAAACTTCTAAAACGAAAGGGTTGGAAAATTTTCCTAAAAAAAGAAAAAAAAAGAGTTGAAAAATTATATATTTAATTTAAACAAAGGAAGAAATAATGTGACACGTGTAAGAAAAAGGGAAAAGTGGGACCCATAGGAGATCTGGTTCCATGTCATTTCCGATTAGTTTTAAGTCCCCGTGAAATCAGGTCTTTTGTGGCGAATTAGGGTTTAGGGCTTAAGGCGTTTTTATATTATTCTCTCTTTTTGACTGCTCGCTTCCATTGTGGCGAGGCGATTCTCTTCCCAATCCCATGGTTTCGGCCTTCTCAATCTCAATCTCTGATTTCTCTAGGGTTTTCTTTCTCCTTGGCGGCTAGGGTTTTGATTCTTAGCATCAGTTTCTTTCCCTTTTGCCGCTTTTTTCGTCCTTTCCCTCTCTTCTGCCGCTCTCTTATTTATATTAATATATGACTTTAATTCCTCCACTTTGTTCATCCTTTTGATTCCTTCTTCCATTGATCTCGATTCGCCCGGCATACGAATTTGAAACGCACCCATTTGTTTCTTTTATTTCTTCTCGGCTAATTCGACTTCAATTTGCGTCAGTATAGTCCGTTTTCGATTTTCTATTCGATTTTCGATATCTTCCTCTCATTCGATTGTCTAGTTTCTTCTTGTTTTCCTGCTTGATCACGTCATCATACGCATTGGTTCTGCAAGGAAGTTTCTTCTGTGATCATTGTCAAGCAGGATTGTGTAAACTTTTATTGCATTGAATTTTTTGGTGGCTGATTCTTTATTCTCGTCGATTGAAGAGAGATTTACTGATACAAGAACTGGGTTTAATTTTAGATAATGAGTTTCAATGATCTTCGAGCCTCTGTTATGCCGCTGCCTCTGCATTCTTATGGTGCCGCCAATGGCGATGCCTCTGGTTGCTGGCCTCAGTTTCCCAGGAACGATCTATTTGACCCGCAATCACAGTTTGAGCCGCAGCCGCCACCGTTTAAAAGAGCTAGAAATTCTGAAGAAAATCAATCTGACCCTATGCCTTATCCGCCCTCTAATTCCAGAGTGCACCCACCAAATGCTCCAGTGAATAAAGGAGTAAGTAATATCTTCTTCAAGACACGGATGTGTGCGAAATTTAAGGCTGGTCTGTGTAGGAATGGCGCAAATTGCAACTTTGCGCATGGTGTTGAAGACATGCGACAACCCCCACCAAATTGGCAAGAAATTGTTGGTTTACGCGAGGATGATCAATCAGTAAGCAACTGGAATGACGATCAGAAGATAATCCAGAAAATGAAGCTGTGCAGGAAGTTTTATAATGGGGAGGAATGCCCTTATGGGGATAGATGCAATTTTCTTCATGAAGATCCTGCTAAATTTAGAGACGATTCGGGTCGATTTAGGGAGAGTTCAGCTATAAGTATTGGAACCACAGGAACTCCATTGATGAATGGAAGTGATTCTGCTTATCCAGAAGCAAGCAGGGCAGCTTCTAGTTCTGTTTCAGATACTCTTCGAGCTACTAATGTAAATGTAAGACCTTCATTCTGGAAGACAAAATTATGCACCAAGTGGGAGATTACTGGTCATTGCCCCTTCGGTGAAAAATGCCATTTTGCCCATGGCCAATCTGGTATATAGCTCTCCCCTTCTCTCTCTCTTTCTCTGTGATGGAATGGTTTGAGGATTGTTGGTGAGAAAAAGAATATAGTTCTTTTAACTGAATGGAATCCAGTAGTTGGTCATGTAGGATACACTGTCACGAACATATGAAATGGAACTCTGATTAGCCATTTAATGAACTAAAACACCTGAAATGCCTTGAAAATGTTCAGTTTGAATAATTTGTTTCTTCTTAATTTGTTCAGTTTTTGTGGTTTGTCCTCTTTTTGTCTTTGACATTGTTTGGGATGATGACTGTTCTTTATGGATCAGAGTTACAACTATCTGTTGGACGTGATGGGGAAGCATCTAACTCTGCCCTCAATATAAAGCCTCTAGTTGTGGCTGCTGAAGCACCTTCAAGTTCGGCCATGAGCGCGCCCTCCTCCGCCGTGCCGGAGGGCCAGGGAAAGCGGTGCTTGCTGAAATGGAAAGGACCCAAGAAGATAAATCGCATCTATGCTGACTGGCTTGATGACTTGCCTCTATCTCCAAGCTCAGCAAGCAAAATGGAGGGTTGAGTTTTTTGAGTGGTTTTAGTTTTGTTTTGAAGTTGGATTGGTGAGATATTCAAATTCAATTGATTAGTTTCAATGTCGGATTTGGGCTGGCGCTGGTTTTCTGAATCAGATAGAAGTGTGTAAAAAGTTTTGCTGAGGATTCGTTGGGGTATGGAAAAGAAGAGAGTGAGGTATATCTTATTGTTTGTTCTTTATTGTTCATCTTCGTTTATAGTTTTATTTCATTGTTGTTCATATCCCATAGAAAACTATAGTTTGAAATTTTAATGTAGTTCAATATATTTCATCTTTTGCTGAACTTTTTTTATGTCATTGATGGTTTTTTTTTTTTTTTTTTTAATATGTCATTGATAAATTTCGTACAGGTTGACATATCATTTGTAATTAGAAATGAAAAAAGAGGGGGGAGGAGATAATTTTTCTAAAATTGCCCAACCTTAAATATAATTTTTAATTATAACAAATTGAAAAATTTTGACCCAATTAAAATGCAATACAAATAAATTTCAAGTTGTCAATGATAAATATTTTAGAAGTTTTTTATTTTTTTAGAATTCCAAAATGGGAGAAAAATGAAAGTGGGAAAGGTTTTTTATTCTTTCAACTTATTATTTTATTAAAATTTAAAATTTGGTAATTTTAATTTTAAATGAGTTTTTAAATTTCTTATTTATCTTTGTTGCAATAGTGTAAACATTTTGCAAATTGCAGGACAAAACTGAATTACAAAAATATCAGAAATTAGAAAAAAATAGTTTCTTTTAGAAAAATTGGCATTTTTTAAAAATACTTTCTAAATTCTCAGAAGAAATTAGGAACCGCGACACGTGGTAGCAATGTAGTTACTATTAGCGTCCAACCGTGCGCGCGCTCTCTGGCTCTGTGCTTCCCAATTCCATGGGTGAAAAATTGTGATGCAAACAAATGAGATCAATTTCATTTTCTCCTCTCATTTCAACAGCTCCGCTCTACATCCCTCCAAAATCCTTCGATTCCCACAACAATTCCTTCAACCCATCAGCAGGATCATTCTCTTGTTCCGCCTCTATTCCCACCATGTCCATTAATTTACAGTCCCATGCCTTCGCCGGCAATCCCATCAAGCTGAAAACCCCAAAATCGGAAGACCCATTTTCCCCTTCTTCAGCTCTCGAATCCCTCAATTCCCAACTTCTGGACAACACCCGGTTGGGTTCTTCCATTAATTTCAAGGTTTTGCCCTTCAGGAAGGGCAGGCCTCTGGCCACGTCGAGTGCGGCGCCCACTGATGCCGCCTCGAGCTGGCGTCTGGGTTGGATTAGCTTGCCTGATTTCAAGGCTCTCTTTGCCAAGTCGGTGGTCGAATTGACTGGGGATTTGTTCGTCTATCTGGGTTCCTTGGGTGAAGAAAATTCTGTTTATTGGGCTATTGATGTTTCGGGTGAGGATGGTTTGGTTCCTGAACTTGGGAGCAAGCAACTATGCTTTGTGGAGGTGCGAACTCTCATGGTGGCCGCAGATTGGGCGGACGCACGAGCAATGGGAGAATTGGCTATTGCTGGTCATGTAAGTAGTTGGCTTGTTTGTATTGAAGCTGTTTTAGTTTCATATGCATGTTTTAAACTTTGTTTTCTTTAACTGAATGAAGTGCTAATAATTAATGGAAATAACTACATCAAAGCCTTAACTCTGCATTTTCTGCTTTGGATATTGTGCAAATTACATCAATTTATTGAGTCAATATGTGATCTTAGAAGATCTTCAGCATGAAAGTCAATCTGGAACCAATCAACATGTGTTTTGTTTTGCCGACTCTCTTTTCTATTTGAGTTTCTATTCTGTATATTAAAAAATGTTACAGAAATCAGTGAGTCAATTTATATGTGAGTCAATAACCCATGGAATTTGGGAACTAAAACTAACAGATTTCTATGTGTTAGTTGTACTTGTACACTTTTATTTCCATGGTTAAGTTATTTAAACTTTTACCAGGCTAGGGCATTGCTAGAATGGCACAATGTTTCAAAATTTTGTGGACACTGTGGTGGAAAAACAGTACCCACAGAAGCAGGTAGACGGAAGCAATGTTCTGATCCCTCATGCAAGAAGAGGATTTATCCTCGTGTTGATCCAGTAAGATTATTGTTACACTTTCCCCCACCACCCCCGAAGGATTTATTAAGCATAGATTCTTTGGGCGAGACATTTTATCTCTAATCATCGGCCATCTATGACAGGTAGTCATTATGCTAGTCATTGATAGAGAAAACGATCGTGCACTTTTGAGTAAACAATCACGATTTGTTCCTCGAATGTGGAGTTGCCTAGCTGGTTTTATCGAGGTACTTCACCGATTAAACATTGAACAATATTGTAGAGAAGTACTGTCTTATGGTAGTAAATATTAATAATTTGATTCTGATGTTTACACTCAGCCTGGAGAAAGCTTAGAAGAGGCAGTAAGAAGAGAGACATGGGAGGAGACGGGCATTGAAGTAGGGGAAGTCGTCTATCATAGTTCTCAGCCTTGGCCTGGTACAACTTTTGAAAATTTAGTTTTTTCTTTATGTCGTGCCTCTTGCTGTAGCTATATTATGTATCCATGCTTTAGCCTTTTGTCCAGCATATGTCATTGATCAAATATTGATTATTAATATTTCTTTGTATTTTTGTTAATTTTATACCAACCATGACCAATGATTTCAAATGTTTTAGTGCCCTTAACATCAGTTTTAGAAGTGGTTTTCTTTGAAAGATCTTCTAGCTTGCCACCACTGTGTCTCTTTCTTTAAAAAAGAATCATGGAACAGCTATGAAACTTGTTGAACCTTCTCTTTTAAGAATCATTGAAAAATAGAGAAATTGAAGGTTTGGCCAACAAGGAAAAACCTCCTTTACGATTTCGGTATTGGTACTGTTTTATGTACTTCCATGATTATGCAGTAATTCCTTGGAGGCTGTCCTTTCAAATGCCAAGGTAGACTTTTGCAGTTATGCAAGTCTAATTTAAGAAGAATTCAGTTTGAAAAAACCATTGAATTTTGTAAGACAATGATCGAGTGGGACGATTGTGGGTGTTTGTTGCTCTCTCTAGGTTCTTCGCGTTTACAAAACTTTCTTTTAGTGCCGTTTTGGATTAGTTTCCCATGAGTTGTGACTTTGGCCTTGAGCAAGTGGATGGCTTTATCTTCTTCTCCTCTTAATAAAAAGTTATTTTATCTCAGAAAAGATATTACATCTTCCAAGCATATCGCACTTGCACTCTGCACCAGCATTGTATTAAGGAATTCTCATGTTAACTATTTGATATATGTATATATATTTTCGTTCCTACTCGTTTTTTCCGTCACAAAATTCCATCTGTTTGATCATGTTTTACCCTTGCTTTACAGTTGGACCAAATAGTATGCCATGTCAGTTGATGGTTGGGTTCTTTGCATATGCAAAATCACTTGATATAAATGTGGACAAGGAAGAGTTGGAAGGTATTTTGAACTTACTACCAATGAAAATTATCAGCCCTATCCTTTATTTATGGTGCATTGATCTTGATTTTGAGCATTCATGGTTGCCTCTGATTGATGTTATTCTGTTGTAACAAAATAAAATACATGGTAAAGTACAATTTGAAGGTACTCGACATCTATGTAAAATGTATTGAATGAATAATAGTGTAATGGGTTTCTTGCTTGCAGAATAATAGTGTAATGCATATAGACAACGTAATTATTCTCCAGTATACTGTTGCCAGAAAATTATACAGAAACTGAAATCTTTGATTATGGAGTTTTGACAATTCTTGAGCTTGGTTCAGATGCTCAATGGCACAGTAGGGAAGACGTGAAGAAAGCTTTGACGTTTGCGGAATATGAGAAGGCTCAGAAAACTGCTGCAGCAAAGGTCGAGCAAATGTGCAAAGGAGTTGAAAGACTACAGAGTTTATCTTCAGATTTCAATGTCGAGAGTGGCGAACTTGCTCCAATGTTTGTTCCGGGGCCCTTTGCAATTGCTCATCACCTCATCTCTTCATGGGTCAATAGTGAAGGATCAGACATGAACAAGCCCAGAAATTCTTTGTCCAGCTTGTAGTTTCAAGATTGTTTTCTTTTTTTGCTTCTGATTATTTTTGCTTCCTATAGTAATTTGGACCAGGGAGGAATCCATTCATTCGTTTTGGAGATTGATCGATACAGCTTTAGGTTTCTTACATTAGCAACATTTAGTTTCTGAATGTGGAAACAAGAAAGATAGAGCTGAAGAGCATTAAGATTTAGCTATATCATCTTTGTTAAATTTCTGTTCTTCCTGTAAACTTCCCAGCATTTTATTGAATGATGAGATTCTCTGCAACTGATTGTCTTTAATTTATTCTTCTTATAATAATTTATTCTTCTGTGATGGAAGGTTCAAATTTCTACCCTTCAAACTTATAAATTAACCATAATTTTTTACATTTTACTGTTCAAGCATATATTAACAATATAAAACTATTTAGTTTCATATTTCACAAACATTCACTTATTAAAATTATTAATAAATCACTGGTTAATTTAAGAATAGTTCAACTAATTAATACACATGTCTGGTTGTGAATTTCAATTCTTAATTCTTATCTTGAAAGGTTGTGAATTTCAATTCTTATATCACAGGGTGTGAATTTCAATTCTTAATTCTTATCTTGAAAGGTTGTGAATTTCAATTCTTATCTCACAGGTTGTTGTGAATTTCAATTCTTAATTCTTATCTTGAAAGGTTGTGAATTTCAATTCTTATCTCACATATTTGTTAGTAGTAGAAAAAAAATTTACTAGCACATCTTTTTTATTTTAGAATATTACACTATAAATAAAAGATAAGTGAAAGTTCATCGATATTATAGGTATGCTCAGGTGTTATTGGACTAAAAAAAATACATATATATATATAAAGGAAAAAAAAGGGAAAAAAAACCTCTTATCCCCTGTATCTGGTTCGCGCCACTCTCCGCCAGGGGACTGTTCTCTCTCACCAAAAATGATACCGAGGCAATTGCGAACAGTCTTCACCGGCGCCGCCGTTATCCTCGGCGGAATTTGCACTCTCAACTTCGCTTCTTTTCTCACCATCCAAACGCTTCGTCTCACCGCTGAAGCCAAACGAGTAATTCATTTTCCTCCGGATGATGCAAGAGAGCCATTTAATTCTGAAGCAGATTCGAATTCATCTCTCTTTTAAACTTGGGAAAGAAAGAAAGCTCTTTAATCTATTTTGGGATTTTCTTTTTTCGCAGAGAAAAATTGCTTTGCCCTGTAAGGCTTGTAGAGGCAAAGGGTTCTATATTTGCAAATTATGCCGAGGAAATGCTGTCATCCACTGGTCGCCATTGTCCGATCCTATTGCCATGAACCCCTGTGTGTGCCCGACTTGTGAGGGAAACAGGTTAATCCTTCACCCCTTTTGATTTCGCCGACTGCTGCGTGTAAAAATTTGTTAAATTATGTGCATTTCCGTTCTTTATATTTTACTCGCTAGGTTGTTGTATGTTACTGTCAATTTTCATGAAAGAAGATGCTGGACCCTAAAGTTGTTTTTTGTTTTTTTTGCTATAGTTCAATTCTTTAAATATAATGAATGGTATTGCAGGGTACAACGTTGCCTAAACTGCCTGGGTAAAGGATATGAAGTATGATTCACCTATGCATTGACTACAAGTGAAACACTGCCTTTAAGTTTCTTATCAAGTAAGTAAATTATCCTTCATTATATTGGGTTCTTGTTCAGACTTTTTAGTTGATAATTGTAAACTAATGGATGATCTAGCCTAGCTCTTTGCATAGTTGTATACAGATAATATTTTTGGCGAGAGCAGTATCGATCATTTATGCTTTTAATTGTCAGTATAGACTTAGCAATGTACGAAGGGAGTCTCGGGAGTTTCGATTGAGCAATAAGTGTTGGAAACTCATCATCGTCACCTGAAACATCAGACTATTGTCATAGTTGTAGATTCTATAAACATATTAAGGAATCAGAAGATTGAAGTCTGCTGGACATGGATAGAGTAACCCTTGAGACTGCAACTGAACATGTTCTGAGAATTTGCTTGTCTCTAAAATTAGCATGATTATTTCATTTTAAGTCATTAACTATTATATGATTAGTAAACTCATACAATAAACTATGATTATTACGCAGGTATAATACTATAACCTCGTGTCTAGTCTTTCTTTATAGGCTCTTGGGTGAGATCTTACTTTGGCTTCCTGGCTGTCTTTTGTTAGCAACATAGTCCTTATTCATTATAAGTTTACGGACCAAAATAGGATTTATACGCAAAATTTTCTTGTTCTTTATTTTGTTATTTAGAACCCTTTTCTAATAAATAGTAGAAAGTCTTGTTTGTGGAGCTTTGGAAGTTGTAGCTGTAGTTCAATGTATTATGACCTATGCTTGCATACAACTGGGCCAGCTTTCTGATTCTCCTTTTATTCTTTTGTGGTGCTTTCAGTTTTTTTTCCCTTCCAATTGGTTTGGGTTTCTCAGCTTTTGAAGTTATCTTATAACCTTAGAAATGTCAGCGTCCCAAAGAAGAGAAGATCCTTCTGTGCCTCATGATAGATTTAAACTATATCCATTTCCATGCAGCTCGGTATGTAATTGGCAGCATTAACCCGAAATATCTTTAGAAGCCACAGTAGCTGTAATAGAATGGGAAGGACCCAGATACTCGTCTGTGTTTTGCATGAATGGGCAAAATAAGAAGTTACTCCAATGAAACCTGCCATTTCAGTGGAATCAATACACATCAGAGAAAGCATATGCAAGGAAGGAGATCATCTTGTGCGTCCTTCCAAAGCTAACCCAGAAAGGCAGTGCCATTGATCAATAAGGGACCTTGGAGATTTTCTGAGTGCAGATACTCTTGTTGAAGAAGGGGACGACAATATTATTTTTGCCCGTTTGCAATGGTGGTCCACTTTCAGTTTTGGTTCTTATTAGAGTTCATCCCGAAACCGATCTGAGGTTTAGTCTAGCAGGTGGTCTAGAACCTCTGGGTCCGGAGGACAATTTAACTCTAGAAGATAATAGACTTTTGGGTTAGAAGAACCATCTGGAAACTGGATCTTCCTCCACAGATTATGAAATGATGATGAATCTTCACAAGACACCTTCCATAGACAATGCCAGACAACAATCCTTCCTTGTGTAAGTTTGTGTTGTGGAATCAGGTCGGTCATTTCTTACATTGGCAACTACACAAAAAAAAAACCACTTGATTTTGCTGCTTTGGTGTTTTTAAGGCACGGGGGAGATTGAAATCGAAGCTGTTCGACAGAATCTACTCTATGGAGCTTGTTTAAATCGTTGAGAGATACCTTTTGATCTATTCTCTTCTTGGTATGCTAGACTTTATGGTTTTCTGGAATTAGAGCAGCATCTTTTAACTTGTTGACTCTTCCGGATTAAAGCCAATATGTTTACTTTGAAAATGCTGTAAACATCGACACCGTTCGCCTCAAATCATACAATCAAATTCTCCCATCTAACAAAATTGTGTATTTCCATCAGAAGTCAGCGAAAATAACGAATGAAAGATTGCAGGTGTGTCTCTTTCTACTAGGGAAATTTCATTTTATCGCCTACTTGTCGTTGTTAAATACTAGAGACTTTCATTTTCTCAAGTGTATATCAGCAGAAAAATTCACACTTCCATTGCTTGTACATTTGTAGCTGAAAAACTAGTTTGACAAACTAGAATCTTGTGGGGAATGGAAGGCAAGTTGTTAGAAGTATAGAACATGTAAAATGATTTTTGCCTTTCCCCCTTCTTTGCTTTCTGATGTCAGATTCTATTCTTTTTTTTTTACATTTAAGCAAAACATGCAGATTGATGGGACATTTAAAAGGAAAAAAAGAGATCAAAGGGGTGGCAAAAGTGATAGGTGAACTTCTAAGATGAAGAGATTTGGTTATATTATGGTCGAAAAAGAAATATATTGTATAGATCATTGCTTCAAGCTTCATTTTGCTCCAATGATTTTTAATCTTGCTTTATTCTTTTTCTGTCAACTACCTTGTTAGGTTATGTCTAATGTCAACTTCTCAACTATACACTAAGCTAGAGAGAGAGAGATTACAATTTTATATTATCTAATTGTTTGTTCAAAATGACCCAATATTAAATTGACAAATGATGTTTATTGTTTATTTCATTCAAATGTCCCAACATGTTAATACTTTGTCAAAGCTAATGAAAGGAAAATTAACAAATCTCAATTTGTTAAGAATAATTCTCTAATTGAAAACGATACATACGCGTAAAAGCAAATAGTATAATATTTTACAATTGATTAAAGATCATAAATATCTCTATCAAAAATCATGTTGTGGATCAGTATGCCAATTCGAACTGGCAAGTTTAGAGAAATATTTTCATTTTTTAAGTCTCATAATTTTTATACTTGCTAATTAAAAATCTCAATATATTCGATGGTAAATTATTGTGGTATTTTTTTTAAAGAGTCACATATATATCAAAGAAAAAGATGGATCTCATAGTCTGAGATCAAGGCACGTAACAAACATAACATACATTAGAAATTGAGAAGAAAAAATTACAGTCTAATTATGAAAATAAATCTCTAGCAAACCCGACTAATAGGTTGGATCTAGAACGAAAACCTCACGGGAGCACAAGCATACATATCACTCTAAACAAAATATATAATAATTGGAGCTAGACGAGACGTCATAGAAATTATAAAAAAAAAAAAAAAGTCTTCTTCCAGTCAAATAAACTCATGATTCATTTGCTTGGATGCCACGTGGATTTTCAAATTAAGTTTGCTTTGACCTTTTAAGTCTCTTAAATAAAGTTTGGTCAAATGTAACTCTATTCAATTTAAAAAGCTGGAGACTTGTTTGGTTACGACTTTATTTAAATTTAGAAAAAAAGGAATTGCATCAACCAACTTCTCTTGTATAATTTTGGTTGGTCGTTTCTTTTTGTTAGAATTTTGTTGTTTTTCTTTTTTCAATTATCTTCCATTAAATTCTATTTCAAAACTGTTAATATTTTGCTTAGTTTTTTAATTTTACAATAATAGGTTAATTAATTAAACCAACTTAATTAATTTGGTATATTTTTTAAGCCTCCAATTTCTGTAAACTATTTATAAGATTTTTTTTATAAACTGTCTTTTCTTTTTTGGTAGTTCCAAAGTTTAGCTAGACTTCAAAATTATTTTAAACAATTGTATTAGAGAAAGAATAGTGACTAAGCATGATTTTTAATGGCACTTAATATTGTCTATTCCTAAGTTTTCTTTTTCTAGAAATTAGCTTCTTTTACTTAACACTTTTTTACCTTTTTAGTGGTACTTTCAAATTTCAAACTAAATTTACAAAACATAAATAGAAACTTTGTTTTTCCTAATAAAGAGTTTATATTTTAAAAAACATTTCCTACAAAATAGAAAATATGTATACGTCAACAAATCGTTATCAAATTGACCATTACATTATGTATTTTTTTTCTTTTACATTTCAACTAAATTTTAAAAATTATATATTATTCAATTAACTATCCAATAAATTGTCCAAATTAAAAAAAAATCATGGGTTCAAATCTTCACCTCAAATCTCACTGATGTGGTGCAAACCCTACACTCCTCCAACACTCAAGTTTATTTGAGAGTTACGTTTTTTTTCCTTTCCAAGGTGGGATGTTCTCTACATATAAAACCACGATGATTACTTCACTAATAAACTTTGTGTCATTAAACCCACAAACACTCATTAGGTTATGATGTCGGTTGGCCCAAATTAGTGAGCCAATCTAAGAGGGATCCCTTGGTTGACCAATGTCAATCCAGTACGTCACAAACACTCATTAGGTTATGATGTCGGTTGGCCCAAATTAGTGAGCCAATCTAAGAGGGATCCCTTGGTTGACCAATGTCAATCCAGTACGTGACACATGTAGTCATGTACACCTTTTTTCCAATATATGTATTTATTTTGAACTTCATATTAGAAATAAGAAAAAGAGGTTATTTTTTAGAAAATTATAACATATGTTTCAGTTTTGTATGAATCTCAATTTTTTTGGAATGACATCTTCCATTATCATATGATACGAAGAAAAACCATAAATTTATCACATGATATGAAGAAAAATCATAAATTAATATGTAGTTAGTTCAACGATAATTGTCATCTCATCCTTATTAGAAAGTCGAGTTCGGAGTCTCCTATCCCACGTATTATAGAAAAAAAAAATGAAGAAACCATAAACTTATCATAAGGGTACTGTGAAAGCCTCCTTTAACAAGCTATTCTTGGAAGTTTGGCAACTTCAAATTGTAAAATATTATATAATTATTCGTTGATTATCAAGCTCAATTTCTTTCCTTTCTATGTTTCTTTTTTCATGGGAAATTTCTTATGAATTTAAAAAAGGAAAAAAAAAAGATTTAATGGGTTTTTGTAGAATCCAACGCCAACCAAAAATTACAATCCTCACACTTAAATATCAAATATAAACAAAATAACAAAGCCAGAGGCGAATCACAGAAGCAGTGAGGAATTTTTGTGATAACAAATTTCTCTCAAATCCCAAGGTGAGTGAAATCGATTTTCTCTTTGCTTCTACAATTTTCATCATTTTCTGGGTTCAATCCGTTTCTTTCTTTTGCAACCCAGATCAAAATTGCAATGATCCTTGATGTATATGTTCTTTTCAGAATTTAGTTTTTGTATCTTGGTTCATCAAAGTCTGTTTTTTTGCTTCTTGGGTCAATTCCATTTTTTCTGACCTGCTGTTTGGTAGCTCGGAAAACAGAAGAAACGTTCAGGAAAATTGGGTATTGGATATTTGTTGATTGTTTTGGTTGCTGTAGTGACATTTTGAAATAAAAAGCTAAAACTATGCTAGTTTTAGTTCTATTAACTTTATTTGAATGTCGACTTTCTGGTTTCATCATCTTGTAATCGAGGAGGTTTTGAGATTCTAAGATTTTAAGATTGTATTTTCGTTTCCGTCCAAGCATTTTCTTAGCAACCAAACATCGCATAATTTCGAATTCGAAGTCCTTTCGGTCCGATGTTAGTGATGGAGATATTTTCGCTTGATGCTCTGTTTAGTTGATGAAGAAGCGATTGAAGAAGAAAATACCGAGCTGTTTTCATCTTATTGTTGTATTCTTGTTGAGCAATCCAGGTTCGACAGACGATTGTCTCAGAAAGCTAATTTTTTTATTCAAACGTTCAAGATTTCGATTTCCTCTTTATGTTCTTGTACTTTCATTAATCTCTCTATTTTCTTATTGCCTACGTTTGTTCACAATCTCTTCGTGTTCAAACAGGGAGAGCCGCTTTCTTAATTCCATATTTTAACATGCGATCTATTCAATTGTATGCATACAGAAGAATTTCTGAAAATCTGTTTGTGTTTTTTCTTTTTTCTTTTTAATAATTTTGAGTCAATTTATTATTCCCCGCCGAAAGTGTTGTTCTGTATGGTTTATTAGGTATTTTGTTTAATTTCTTATTTTAGCTTCATTGAGGTAGTCCTGTGTATTTTAATTCACAAGTTTTTGCTGTTTCTCCTTGAAAAAACAGATTGCTTGCTCTGGAAATTGGTTCACGTATCAGTAAACATGCGATTCAGGAAAGGCAGTAAAGTGGAAGTGCTAAGCAAAAAGGAGGCGCCTTCGGGCTCCTGGCATTCTGCTGAGATTATGTCTGGCAGTGGTCACTATTATACTGTTAGATATGACAAATTTGAGGGTGGCAGTAATCAAACTGTTGTGGAGAGGGTATCGCGTAAGGCTATCAGGCCTTGTCCACCTACTCAGGAAGTTTTGGAAAATTGGGTTCCCGGTGACGTTGTGGAGGTATTTAATGACCGTTCTTGGAAAATGGCTACGGTTTCTGAGGTTTTGGGGAAGAAAAACCATTTGGTCAGATTACTTGGATCTTCTTGTGAATTTAAGGTCAACAAATTTGACATTCGGGCAAGAAGGTCTTGGCAAGATGACAAATGGGTTTTGGTGCACAAGGTTGGTAGTATTTTCTTGATCACTTTTTGTTTATAACTGTTTTTGTTGTTTAAATGTCTAATGTTAAGAAATGTAGAATTTCAGAGGCTTGAATTAATTATATTATCTTGATTTACGTTTCGGTTTGAGTTTTCTTGCTTTGCTGCTGATAGAACAAATATGCACATCAGCTAGTGTTTAAGTTTTGTCTTACCAAGATCTCTACAACATTTAGTGTAGGTTCTCTTTTCTATGGTTTGAGAATGTTGTTTAGTTGAGTTTTGCTTTGAATTTTAAAATTTAGTAAAATGAAAGCATGTATATCAATGTTGTTTGACTGAGGGTCCAAAGTGGCTCCAATGAGAAAGATTAAAAGCAATATTCTTCTTGTCCTGTCCTTCTCGCTATTCCTCTTTAATGTTTTTTTCCAATGTTGTTTGTGCATATAGAAATCTTGCAATCTTGGTGATGATAGCAAAGAAGATGAGAATGCAAGCCCTGGTTTTCATGGTCTGAGCTCCCAAATTCAGAATTGCCAAAACGCTTCTAACTTCGAGAGCCGCAAAAGGGGATCAAACTATGAGTATTCTCAAGCTGAATCAATGGCTAGAGCTGCCTTGAAATGTAGGGTGTTGAAGAAAAAGCGAAGATATCATGGAGTGGTTGCTGGAAATCCTTCCACGTTGCACAGGCATGTAAAATCAATTGCTATCCAAAGAGGTATGCTAGGGGAAAATTTTGGAGGTGCTTCTTTGGATCGAACCGACATTTATGAAATGAACAGTGATAGGAAGAAACTAATGGGTGTAGCTTACCAATCTCTTCAAGAAAGAATTGAACTAAACGATGCTGATAGAGCTACATGCTCTGTTGGCAGTTGCAGTGTCTCTAACAGTGACGACCGCGGGTTACCTTTTCATGTTTCTATTGGTCGCAATGAAGATACGGATGGTTCTAGAAGTGATGCTGAATCTTTTTGTCATTTGGGATATGGAACAGGCAATTTTCTTCTATCCAGAGACAAACCATTGGAAGCTGAAATCCATAGGTTAGAGTTACATGCCTATCGATGCACTATGGAGGCATTATATGCTTCGGGTCCTTTAAGTTGGGAAAAAGAATTATTGCTTACAGATCTTCGTCTATCCCTCCATATATCAAATGACGAGCATTTGATGGAAATAAAAAATTTAGTTTCCACAAGAATTTCAAGTAGATGACAAGTAAAATGCACTTTTCCCCTTCAAGTTTTAAATATTTTTTATGTGTAGAGTGCAATAATGATTAATGTGAATGGTTCCTCTAATTGTACAAAGCATTATGAGAATGATCTTCTTTCTTTATTTTACTATAGCTCGCGGTCTAACTTTGTAGTGTACAAACAGAACAGCATTATTAAAGTTGATTTATCTCAACTCCTGAACGTTTAATTTCCTTCTTGTGTCCATGGATTTATACTATTACAGATGTTTATATATGCTCATGTCCAACAATATATTGGGCACAGTTCAAGAAAACATTATTGTAACAGAGCTTTGCCAGTTGTTTATGATAATTTGATGGAATCCTTTCTTCACCTTTTTCATATGACCTTTTGCAGAATCTATCCTGTGATAGCTTAATCATCATTGTACCACTTGGAACTCTGAGAAATTTCACTTGAGAACACTGTTGATGCATTTGTTCCAGTGTTGAAGTTGGGGGCTTTTGCGCGCCACACTTCTAATGGTGTAAATAAGATTCTCCATTTTCCTTTTATATACAATATGAAAATTTTACTTACATTTCTTGTGAAGATGCATTGATATCAGTTTATATGGGTTATTGCATCCATTCAACTAAGGACATGCTTGAGCCTGACATCCTTCCTTCTGTGGAGGATTAGACTCTTCTTCATGTTTGGGGCTGACCTCTCTTCTTAATGGTTGAAACAAAGGTCTGTCAAATTTTCACACGAAACTATACAATTAAGTAACAGTCTTTTAGTTTTTTCATCTATTATACTTTAATTCATTGAAGTTTGCTGCATGTCTCTGTCACCAGGAGATCCTCATGATAAAATCTTTAAAGAAGAAAGAGAGAAAGAGAGAAAGAGAGAAAGAGAGAAAGAGAGAGAAGCAAGCCTAGAATCATTTCATTTGACATTTTAAAGTTAAATTATAAAACGTATGGAGTGAAAGCACAAATAACTTGATCTTGATGTTTTATTTAGATCTTTTAGGCAACTTGTTACTTTGATGTTATAGCGTTGAATGTTTTGATGGGTAGGAGAGAAAGGGCATATTTGTTTCCCTCAGGAATCTGTTCCGTGGGGGAACAGGAACCTCTAAGATTATTTAGTTTTTTTTTTTTTTGCTAGTTTAGTGGTCCTGCGAAGTGGGAACTCCAATTTCCCTGAAGCTGCTTCATTTTGGAATTGTCTATTTGGAACATTTTCAAATTTTCAGCAGTAAAACACAATGTTCTGTACATATTTTGGAGGTATCAAAACTCCTTATCTGCCATTGTTTCACTGACCCTCTTGACATTGCCAACTGTCAAAAGTCTGATAAGGGCCTCATGTACAGTATTATAAATCACGGCATTTGATTGTGTCTGAATAGGGACCAAGCTACTGATAGGATAAACTTGTGAAATGCTTGTCTTTTATGTTTTTAATTCTTCAGGTGATTACTCAAGGAACTTCATAGTTTTCATAGGATTATACCTCTTCTTGATGTAGCATCAGTTTATATATATATATATACACATAATGATTGAGGCAAACATCTTACAGAGAACATATACTAAAGGCGAAAGAAACTGACAATTTTTAGGTATCTTTTATGATCACATCCTCAGGTTTCTGAAATGGATATCTGCACTGCACATCATGTTCACTGTTCTATGTACACCACTGGTTATGGAGCTACAATTCAGTCTTCAATTATGAATGATCATTCTTCATGGTATTAATTTAAAAAGTTCTTTGTTACAACGACGGATCTATTTCTCTTTGATGAACATGTTGACTAAAAAGTCAACAACTCCCTATTGGGGGGAGCAGTAGGGGGGTGAATTTCCCACCCTAGTTAATTTGTACAATGCAATAGTTTATTTCTTGTTTTTAAATTTGCAAATATGAATTAAATAATGACCACTAGACAACCTCACATAATAGGTACATGATCCAGGTAACATAAAATAGAATTGATGGATTCTGTTTCTTCCTTCTTATCCAATGCATACATATGTTATTTTCATGAGAGTAAAAATAGGTTAATTTTAGAAGGCTTGATAGTGTTTTTATGTGCATCCTGCAGACATATCATACTCTAGAGATGTATAGTTCCAGCTCGGCGTTAAAGCCAGTGTAGAACTTGTCTCAAAGCTGTGGGTGGATTTCCCCTCATGCTCCTCAATTGCTTTCAGATGCATAAAGAGTGAGCCTTGCTCTATAACTATCATGCTTATTGGAACGTTTGAATCCAAAAAAGCCTCATCTCATCATTAATTCTTTTGTTTTACTTTCTTAATTAGTCTTCATTTCATTTCACTGACTCCTGTGCCTGATCATGCCTGCTTTTTTAGACGAATTAGCAGAACTACTGTTCACATTCATTTTACTTTCTTTTTTTGGCTTTAATGTCCATAGATTTCTCCATTTTTGTTCTTCATCTTCACTTGACTTGAAATTTGGCACTATTGCTTGACCCCCAATATTTGATAGCAAGGAAAATTCAGAATCCTGAGTGGATTTTTGTTCCATGGTCGATTCTTTTAGGAAGAGCATTGTACTGGCTGTTTACTGTTGTAGTGTTGTGTGAGGTATATTACAAGAACGCAACCTTTGTTTCTCAATTATTCTGCTTTCTGTTTCAAAATTTGCCTGCATAAAAACAAAAACAAACAGGGTTTTTTTTGGCATTGATTGGTACTGATGGGGCATCTTCTTGTTTGTCTTTCTATTTTATATACTGAATTGATCTGAAACAGTTTGTTCACTGTAATGGCTAGATAAATTGTGGTTAAGGTAAAATCTATTGTTCGACCTAAGAATCTTCTGAAGTTTTCATGTGAGTTAGTTACAGAATCGAGGGCTTAAAAATAAGTTTAAATATGGTTTTTGTGGCTGAATATTTAAAATTTTGATCTTTGTCCTTAAATTTTTTACTTCTATTTTTATTCTTTTAGCTTTTGAAGCTATTTTAGGCCCTACCATAAAAGCTTACCTTCAGTCCCTGCCACAAAAGGGAATGTAGATGTGGCATATGGATACATGACGTGTTATATCATGTTTCAATAGAAGGACTTGAGTATTGAAATCAGAATTGTAAAAGTTGAATGGCCAAAATGAAAATAGATAAAGTTTAGGGACTAGAATCAAAATTTTAAAAGTTTAGGGATAAAACTAGAAAAAAAAAATCCAAAACTATATCTCTAAAACTATAAAGAAAACATTTTGATAGTATCCAACATTGAATGTTAGAAGTAGGTGACATTTAAAGAATATGAAATTGAATATGAAGAACCACAATGCCTAACTATCCAACAAGATAGTAAAAACCCCACTAAGTTTTGTTGGGCCAGCAGGTCTAGTCGAATCAATGCATTGTTTGTAATAGTAATAGCAATCCATCTTACAACCAAGTCTATTGTTCCACTCTAAGAAAGTCATACTTTTGAACTCAAAATCTCTTGCTGTTTAATTTCTTATGTCCTCTCCTTCAACAGCAGCTTTTTAGTGGAAAACTTCTTCAACCCATATGATAAATGCTTCTCCACTAATGGTACAGTTTACCCCATTTGATGGAGTTTTTGTTTTCTATCCCCCCTCCCCCCAAAAAACACTATTTCTCTGATGTTATAAGGTCTTACTTGAATAGGTTCTATTCTATACGTTGTACACGGAGATGGGTTCTTGCGATTTCATGTTTATAGAGAAAACGAAGGCCGTGTACCGATACGGCCAAAGTCTCTTTGTTTGGTTGGTCTGTGTAAATTATAAGCAGTCAAAAGAAGGGGTAAATGAGATGGGTAGAAAGGAAGAGGGAAAGAGAGTAGGAATAAGGATTGGCACATGGGAGTTGGGTGAGTTATAGTTAAATCACATCTTTTCATGTTTATTTGGAAGGGAAAGGGAAAAAAAGTTGATTCTGGGTTGGAAAAAGGTTCTGTTTAGAAACAGGGAATTGGGTTGCCAGAGGCTTAGCTGTAGGCTATGCAGGTGGAATTGTCATCCAGTTAACAAACAGAGCTCCAAGTTTTGGCAAAAATGAGCAGTGCATTTATGTGGCTCCACGAAATCCTCTCCTGTTGTCTCGTTTGCACCTCTTCATGATTGCTATTCCCATGTGATTTTGCCTCCCACACTCTTAGACACAGAAAGTAAGAGAGAGAGAGGGGAGGCTCTGTTGTATTGTATATACATATAGGATCTTCATTTCAGTGATCTGTTGTGGAAAATGATCTTGAATAATCAAGTGATTTGTTATGAAAGTATTGGTATTGTCTTGATGATCTTAAATATTAAGGGTTGTATCATCGAGTTATTATGGAAAATGATGTTTTAATTGATGGGTCTTAAATGGAGCGGGATCAGTATGTCATGGAAAAAATGGTCGTTTTGTGAAAAATGGTTAATATGGTCATTTGGGTACAGTTATATATATCGTATTCAAACTTAGTTTGAGTTATTTGTTATGGGAAATTGATGTTTTAGTTGTTATGAGAAAATGATTCATGTGATGATCATCAATACGAGAATCTTATGACCCATGTGGGCATGGCTTAATTGAGAAGACACCTATTATCTTCCATTAGAGTTTTATGAAAAAATATTATGAAACTCTGTTTCAGTTGAGTTATTATGGAAAATGATGTTTTAATCGACGAATCTCAAATATGGTGGTATGTTATGAAAAGGAATGTTAAGAGGTCATTTGGTACAACTAATATAATACGATCTTAAATCGAGTGATTTGTTATGAGAAAATGATTGCCTTCTATAGAGATAAATGAGAGTGTTTTTGCAGGAAAAAAAAAACTAATAATAAAACAAAGGGGTCCTTTGGTAGGATCTTGATTTGTTATAGAAAGTGATGTTTTAATTGTGGTCTTAGATCAAGTGAATTGTTGTGCAAAAATGATAGGTATGATGGTCTTAAATGTAAGTGTATTATTGTGAAAGAAAATAAATAAACAAATAAAGAAGGGGTCATTTGGTACAACTATATATCATGCTATCTTAAGTTAAGAATTTGATTTATGGAAAATGACATTTTAATGTGTGGTTTAGACTTTAGATAAAGTGATTTGTTTGAGAAAAATATAGTCTAAAGAGCCTTAAATATGAATTTTTTTATGAAAAATGTGTTACAGGTCATTTGGTACAACTATATCCTATACGTCCTTAATTTAAATGGTTTATTATGGAAAATGACATTTTTTTTTAATTAATTGTGATTATGGAAAGAGGATTGTTTTCATGGCCTTAAATATGAGTGTCCATTCATGAAAAAGTAATAAGAGGACATTTGGTCGAGTTGTATTCAATAATTTATTATGGAAAAGATGTTTTAATTAATGGTTCTTAAATCAAGTGATTTATTATTGAAAAATCATTGTTTGATGCTCTTAAAGATGATTGTCATCTTTTGAAAAGTATTAACAAGTATGCCAGCGTAAGGATAAGAAATTTGAGCTTTAGTTCGATTGGTTAAGGTATCTCTTTTCAATCATGAGATGAGTTTGAATCTCTATCCGTACATGTTGTTGTATTGAAAAAAGAAGAAAAAGATAAATAAGAAATTTGAGATAATGGACGGCACGAAAAATGAAATTGTGATGTCTAAGAAATTGAAGGATGTAGTATTTAGTTATCAATATTATCGATCTTCATCGGTTTGATCTCAAAACCAATTAAGAGCGAAAAAAGTAACTCATGTCTATTATAAACCTTCAATGTGATTTGCTGCTCCATTGTTCGTACACCACATATTTATGGGATCATCTCTACTATTCTTTCAACCTCTCCTCTACTCTCCCTAGCCATATCGAGATTTTCTTCAATGAGACTCTCTCCTCCTCTTCAGATAGCAGTAGGTGTATTCTCTGGTGAAATAGTGTTGGTGCTGTTCTTTGGAATATTTGGTCGGAAAGAAATAACCGACTTTTCTTGGACAATTCTCATTCTTATGCTCTCCTTTGGTAAGATATTAAAGTTTCGGCCTCTAGTCTCTTCAAAATCACATCCTTTTCGTAATTATGACATTTCTACCCTTTTGCTTTTAATTGGAGTACTTTTATATAGTTTCTTATTTTGTGTGCATGGTTCTCACATACTTCATCCTAAATGAAACGTGTTCTTTCTTACAAAAAAAAAAAAAGTGAGATTCTTAACATGTCTCCTCAAGATTGTAGTTCTTTTGACTCATCGATCTTGACCGGATCTCATTTTTGAACCGAATGCTCACCTGAACTTTTTAAGTTCTCTTACCATATTAATATTCATGAGTTTCATCTCAAAACCAATTGGTAATGAAAGAAAAGTAGTCCACATCTATTATAAACCTTTGTTAGGTTGCTTATCTTTTTCAACGTAGGATCTTTAACAGATATAATTGTACGGGAATGAAAGCCTATAAATGAATGCATGTGTTTGGATCGTACAAAATATGAAACTATATAAAGTAACAATCCCACGAACTGATGTTTGCATATTAGACGACTTTGATCCCATGAGTTCATGTTTGCATATCAAACAACTTGAATCCCACGAACCCATGTCTGCATATCAAACCACTCCAAATACTCATAAAAACTTGTGTCTTTTCTCCTTTATGAACAAGACAAGAATTTGAGAGCTCACATCTATTCAATTTTAGTTAACAGTGGGAACTCATTACAATAAATTCCAAAAGAAAAAATTATAATTTAATTATAAATGGAATTCAATTAGGTCCCCATAACTCTCATTCTTTATAAATGAGTGAGATTTGCATTAATTTCCAAGTAAATGGAGCTGTCTTTCTCTAATCAAGGCCAGGCATCAACCAGCTCATATCCTTTGGTTTCAAGTGTAAATTTAAGAAAGAAATTAAAAATACTTTTAAATAAATTGGTAATCAAATTAGCTAATAAAATATGGAATATTAGAATGTTGAAATCGTCTTGTAGTGCAGATGGAGGAGACAAAGGCTTTGATGTTAATGTGGAAGCATGCCAACTGAGACAAACCCATGAGTGAGGGAGAAGGGTTGTAATTAATAATAAATAACTTTATATTAAAAAAAACAACAATCCAAGTACATCAAATTTATAATTAGTTTATTAAAAAAAGTCTAAGCTTAATAAAGACATGGCTAAAAATAATATTACTTGATAATATCATGCATGAGAAGTGAAGGAAAAAATATATATATTGAAAAGTGAAAGTGTTTTGAATTATTATCCAAATCACTTGCATGTGATAATAATGGTTTTGGATTTCTCTTTGAGCACAATTTTCAAAATCAATATAGTGATATGATAAGGCAGAATGAAAATAATTAGGGTCACAAGGGTTAGTATTGATGAGAGGGTCACATGCTATTGATTCCTTTAACCAAAATAGCCTTTAAAGAAACATTAATGGGAATAAATATCTC